TACACAGCACTAGTCATTTATATGGAAATTATTTTTATTAATCTGGTTTCTTTTGTGCACTTTCTGAGACCTTATCTTATTTACTTCATGCCCTAATGTTCACTGGTTGACAGATACATTAACAATCTGATTATAAGGATTTTAGAACCTAGAATAGACAAAAGCTTTGAAATCTGCTCTAGATAACTTTCAAAAACCCAGTAATTTTTTTTTTTTATTATTTCACTGGACTTGTTTAGTCCCAAATGTAGACTAGGTGATTTTTCATTGTCCTTTCCAGCTTTGTAGATCATTGACAAAACTATGTGCCTTTCCTTTAAAAAGGCAGAAGTATACTTTTACCAGGTCTGCAAAACCTGATAGAAAATATTTAAACATAGGCACAGAACAGTGGGCCTGATTTACCTTTCGCCTGTGATAGTTTTGCCTTCACCCAAATTCTGTCTCATCTATCAAGTATTTTGGCAAAAATTTTATCATCTTGTGTTTCTTATTACAAGTTCTAGAGCAAACATTTAAATAGAAATAAGCAAAAAGAAGAAAGTAAAAACCACTCACCGATGTAAACGTTCTAATGTTTTTCCTTCTTGGTGTTAAAAATGTACATTTTTGGAGATAATGTTGATTGTTTATCCAGGGTACACCCCCAAATCCCTGCATCCTTCCTTCAGCATCTCAAGTCTGTTCAGGTATCCTCCCTCTTCCCCATAGCCCTGTGCTTTGGAGGGAGAGACTGATCCCATCATCAGTCCTGGGGGTAGATTTTGAAATATCTAAGCCAATCATGGTCGTTTCCTTTGCTAACAAGTGCCTTAAGCATGTGATGCTAATCTGACCAATGAGACATGAGGGGAACTTGGCTTGGCATTTCAGGAAAAGTGTTCTCTTTTCTAAGAGACACATACAGGATCAGCTGACTTATTTCTTTCTTTGGACATTTTCATATCTGTGTGTGGCCGCATGTACAGTTCTCATCTTGCAGCCAGGAGGGATGCTAGCTTAAAAGGAAAGTGTTTATACTAAAGATGGCAGAGTAGAAAGTTAGAGATAACTTGAGTCCTTGATGACATAATTGGGTTGCTAAATTAACCAAACTCGAAGTAGCTTATCTCTGCTCTTATTGTTCTGTGAGATAAAATATCTTATTATTTAAGCCAGTGGTTTTCAAACAAAGTGCCAGTACCCTGTAGTCTAGGACTTTTCAAGCAATAAATGGGCACAGTTAGCTTTAAAGAAATCAATTTCCAGGTCCTCAGTACCTTTAAAAACTCTTCCCTAAAATTAATTGGCCTTTGGAGCACACATGAAATGAAGATGATGTGGTGATTCTCCTTTCCCACCTTCTCTTTCAAAATTACCTCTTTTCCATTTTGTAAAGGAGAGATTTATCACTCACTCATTTCAAATCTTACTGAGGTTCTTTGCCCAAGGCTTAATATAACCCCAGGAAGCCTACTTTAATTGTGATATCAAAATAAATCCCCCATTTATCTGATTAAGAATTGTATTTTCAATATAATTTTACTTTTTATGTTTAATAGTTACAAAAATTTATAATAATTTAAAACTTTGTAAAATTTTGACTGCTCATGCAGTAATAATATTTGACATAATAACTCAACTAGAATATATTTAATTTCTTAGAGCTTTGTGGTATTAGGAAATTAATTTTTACATTTAAAATGTTTAATATATTTTTGCTGTGGAGAATTAGGATAGAATATCAGTAAAAGATTTTGAAGCATAAAAGTACATACTTCATTATAACAGCTGTGAAGGAGGTATAATAAAAATACAAATTCGAGAGAGAAAAAGAATGATTATTAAGGAGGACCATGGTAATATGGTTTTAAAATGGATGACAGTGGCCATAAAATTAAAATAATATTAAAATTCAATTGCATACATTCAAATTTTGGATTTAAAATTTTTAAAATACACAAATATTTATAATATGCAAGATATATACTTTGCAAATAAACTTATGATAAAAATTTTAAATGTCAACTTAAAAGTGTGAGGATACATAATTTTTCAAATTGTTTTATAAAGTACGCTAGCCTAAAAATTTAAAATTCACTGTATAAACTATTTTCAATTGAGGATTTGTGATACCTAAAGCATGAATCAATCTATCATCTCTCTCTCTCTATCTATTTATCTATCTATCAATCATCTATCTGTCATCTACCTGTAAATTCACTGTATAAACTATTTTCAGTTGAGAATTTGTGATACCTAAAGCATGAATCAATCATCTTTCTCTCTATCTATTTATCTATCTATCTATCAATCATCTATCTGTCATCTACCTATCAACATTATATGTACTGAATTTAATATACCTTAAAATTGGATGATCCTGGCTAATTCTATAGTCACTTAAGTTTCTATCTCCTCTATTCTACTTGGCCAGTTATTGCTCCTTCATCCACTTTCCAGTTTCTAATATTAGTTAATATTTCTAATCAGTTGTTATTTACTTTCCGTTTTGCTTTGTCTTTTTGGATTTATACCTTAGAAAAAAGTTTTACTGTAATTTGAATGGGATTTCATGTTGGAGCAAAGATAAGTGAATTTTTCAATGTCATGTTTTGTTCAGAGGCTGACAAACTGTTTTCTCACTTATATTTTTTACTTAAGCATATAATGGGAACATTTTTCTGTATTGTTAAATGTAAATGTCCTGGTTCTTCATGCATTTTAAAGGCTATGTAGTATTTTACATTATGGGATATTATTTAGTGCAATTTCTAATGGCTGGTCTAGTTCATAAAGATTTCTGTATGTTCCTCAGATTATTTTATATTATTTTCACAATATTAAACAAAGCAAATTTGCTCCTTTTTCTTCCAGCTTTATTATATCACTGACAAGATCATTTATGAGGTAAGAATGCAATAAGGACACAAATATGTAGGGTTTTTTTTTTTTTTTGCTTCTTTCCTATAGTGTCATATCCTACCACTTTTGTGTGGCTAAAAGTATTACCATCCTGCTCTCCAGCTGTCCTCAGCTCTCCCAAGGTGAAAGCTTATAAAATCCAGGAAGCAATGAAGGACCAAAGGAAAACATGAACACAAAGGACATATACCCGTCCAACAAAAGGACCTCTCATAACAAATATACCCCTTCTTATCCAGGTGAGAAGAAATAATAAAAGCACCTTATCAGTCAACTTGATCTGGTGTGGAGAAGAATGAATGCATTCTTTGAAATAGCTTAATAAGGCAGAATAGACTTGGTGGGAACATTTTAGACATAGCTTACATTCTACTCTTAACCTTTCAGGACATAGTCACTGCCCTCTGTCAATTACTGCCATGTCTTCACTGACAAGCCTGATGGGTTATAAGTACAAGAATCTTCCAGATGCATGGCAGAGAAAAAATAGACCTGTAGCACTGGGTTAGAGCTTCTAGTAGCAGGGAATTAGGGTCAGA